GGCTGATAGTGTGGGCTCGCCCACCCGTCGGTAGCTCAGCAATTCTCCAAGTGTAACCGGAATGGGGAGGCTGATGTGGAAGCCTCAAACCCACCTCTCCCCTTCACTGCACCTGGAAGCCTGGGGGAACTCCAGCAGTCTGGGCGGAGATATCCAGAGTCCTCCAGACACGCAGAGAGGCCGGTGAGGGCACCCCGGATCTGCCCAGCTCCTCCTCTGCAGACCTATGGCCAGGCAAGGCAGCTAAGCAGGCTGGGCTAGGCTGGTAGTGTGGGCCAGCCCACCTATCGGGAGCTCAGCAGGTCTCCAATTGAAGCCGGAATGGGGAGGCTGGTGTGGCAGCCTCAAACCCACCTCTCCCCTTCACTGCACCTGGAAGCCTGGGGGAACTCCAGCCATTTATAAATATTTTGCAGCATATTTATAAATCTTGTCTTTTGATCCATTCTCTCTGTTTTGATTGGTGAATTGAAAGCATTTACATTGATGATTATAACTGGTGTGTACTGACATCCTTGTCATCCTAATTTCTTGTTTTTGGTTCTCTATTTTTCTCTTTTTGTTTAATTGCTTGCCCTGCTTACTAGCTTCTTTCTATTGGTGTTCATGGCTCAGCACCCAGTCCTTTAGTACTGAATTATGGTAATGATTATGACCCAGACAGTCACAGTGTTGTCATATAAGGGAAAACAGCTGATCACAACAGATATAGCACCCCAGGTAAGGTAGTACAATTATGAATAACAATATCATTAAGTACAGATTAGAAACTGACAAAGTATGGTAAATATTAATTTGATACCTTTTATCACAGTTATATAACAAAACCCAACATATACCAGGAACTTGTATTCAGTGTGTTTTTCTCTTAGTGGAGTGATTTTACCCCAAAGTGGAGGTGGTGGTGGATTTAAGAAAGATAAGAGAAAAAAAATAGAGAAATTAATTAAGAGAAATATAGTGGAAGTAAGCTTGAAGGACAAGCTTTGCGAAACTTGAGAAGACAGGAAAGATTGAAGGAGAAAGTAAAAGAATATTAAAGCAAACCAGAAAAACAATTAGGGATAATGTTTCCTTATCAAAAAGTGAAATAAAAAAGTCAAAGAAAGAAGGAAAGGAAAAAAAAAAAGATGAACAAAACAAAACAAAACCAGGGGCCCAGGATTTAGCTTACTGGTGTAAGCACTTGCCTGGCAAGCACAAGGGTTTGAGTTTGATCCCCAGTACCAAACAACAACAATGAAACAAAAAAACAAAATAGAAATAAAAATCTAAACAAACAACCCCACAAAAACAAAAACAAAAAAAATCTAACAAAGTTCGTCTTGTGTTCACAGTTCTGTGGTAGTGTCTAAATCAGAGCTCAGGTCTGTCCTGGGTAACATCTCTGGTACTGCAGTAGGATTAGTGCAGGATGCAGAGCTAAGCTTGGCTTCCAGATGTAGAGCGTAGAGCTAGAGTCTTTGATCAGCAACTCTCTGATGTCCTTTGCTGGCCCACCCGTGTCCCTACCCAGTATGCTTCACAGTTGCTGTGGTTCCCTGAGACAAAGACAGCTCAAGGCTCCCCAGAGTCCCACATTCAGTTGGCTCCTCTCAGCCCTTGCCCTGGCTCCTCTGTTGCACTCTGATGCACATCTCTCTCCTCTCTCACACTACTGGGAGAGGGTAGAGGGGGAGAGTGTTGTAGCCTGTCTGACTATCTTCAATACTGCCATGGGGATAACCCTAAGCTGCACTGAATCTTGCACTGCTGGGAGTGGGGCAGGGTAACCTTGCTGTTTTGAGAGATTCCATTTAGCTGCTATAAGGCAAGACATTTACTGTGCTGCTCCACTAGGGACCTCTGGGCTTTCCTCACTCTCCGTGTGACCCTGCAGATTCCAAGCTACACTCTCACATGTGAGCTGGGCACATGAATGCAATATTGATGCTTCCCAACTCAATCAGTCAGAGGTTTTTTTGTTTTTGTTATCTTTTTATAGTCTGAGGAAAAAAAAAAAAAAACTTGGCAGACCACCAGGGAGGGAGCAACTTCCTGATTGCTCGCTCCTGTGTGTATAGGCAAAATTTGCTGCCAGATTGCAACTCTAGAATAGAACTAGTCTCATCTGAACTATCTGAAGAACAAGATCACCAAAAAAAGAGAAAGCTATGCTTGTGAAGACTTGAATTTTCTCTTCAAAAATCAAGACTGCAGTGCTACTGTAGGGAGCATGGAAGCCTGCCTTGCTCCTTATGTTTAACAGTGAAGCTCAGGGCTCATTAACTCTTTTCTCATTGTTTTCTAACAGATTTTCCTTCCTTCAACCCACAGCCACCCCAAGGGTCTATAGCACCTTTCAATTTGAAGAAGCTGTAGAAGACATAGATCTCCACTTCCTCAGCACCCCATAAAGAATTACAGGAATTTGTGTCTCCCAGGGGGAAATGACAGGAGATTAGGGCATGGCAAATCTGACTGTGGAAACACATGAGACCTGTTAATTACAAGATCCTGGAACACAGGAGCAGAACAGTTATAAAAGCCCAGGTTGCCCTAGTGTTACGGTTTGTGTCTAGATGTGCCCCCAAAGCCTCATGCAGTCATAGAGGCAGGCTTTTGAGAAGTGGTTGAATCTAGAGTTATGATTGATTCATTTTGTAGTGCTGTGATTAAGGGGGTGAGTGCTACCCACTCTAGGTTGGGTAGCCTGCATACAACATAAAGGATTGAAGAGGCTTAAGGCTCGAAGCTTGTTTTGTATCTATCTTAGTTATTTTTCTCTCTTTGCTGGGACAAAAATACTGATATCCAGAATTAAGGAAGGAAAGGTTTATTTAGCTCAGAGTTGGTTTTAGTTCATAATCAGTTGGCTCCAAGGCAGGGTGGTATGGCAGAGGAGCAACAAATGGCAGCAGAAGACAGCAAAACCAGCAAGATCAAAAAGAGGAGAAGACAGAGAGCAAGCCTCTTTCCCTCCCTGATATTTATGGAGGCTACCCATGCCAGAGCATGTGTAGCACTCACATCCATAATTCCAGCACTGGACCACGAATTAATCACAAAATTGTAGAAGCCCACCCCCATGATTGCATGAGGCTTTGGGAGACATCCAGACAAAAATCATAACATCTTTCCTTCCTCCATTCCTCCCTTCTTGTAACTTTTGTTTCCTCCACCACCATGAACTATTTTATTGACCCTCTGCCATAAGCCCCGGGCCTTGGAGCCAACCGATTATAGACTGAAACCTCTGCAAACTGTGAGCTAAATAAACCTTTCCCCCTTTGATTTTGGATATCTGTTTTTTGTCTCAACAATGAGAAAAGTAACTAAGATACTTAGGCAGTTCTGCAGTTATTCTGGAGAACTTCAAGGAAAGGAGAGTATTATATCAGCACTAGGCTTTGTTTGCATGTTATAACACTTTCTGAGGAGTATGTGTGTGTGTGTCCACGTGTAATACAAAGAGGACATCAAGAGTGGACACTCCAAAATCATACTGTTCACTTCAAATTGGGGAAGAACCTGGCAAAAGACTGGGTTTCCTGAAAATCATAAGATAGGAACTCAAGCCATTTTGGTTTGGGACCTATAAGTTCATGACCATTCTATCTGATGTTGTAAACCAAAGAATGAGGTCTAAAATATTTTGTTTAGCATGAAAAGTAAGGTTCAAAATGTTTGCATAGTAGATTAAAAAAATGAGATAATATCTCTAAAAGGATATGTATAAAAATGGTGACAGTGACTGCCTCCTACAAGATCTAGGAAACTGGTGTGTGAGTGGATGTTAGAGATTTATTTTTTAACCATATGATTTTGTACTTTTTTGATTTTTAAAAAAGATGTACATATAGAACTCACAGTTTAAAAAATCAATGTGACCGTTTTGTGGTTGTGAGCTGGTGCGGCCTAGAATTACTTCCTAAGACTGGTTTCTAGTTGTACTTCCCGACCTGCCTACCCTGCAGCAGTCACTCACCATTACGCCTTCAGCTCACATCACTGTCACACAGAAGATAAATAAAGGCACATTCACTTTGGGTGAGATTGACTCCAGCTAATGACTGAGCAAGGTACGGCTGTCAATGCAGGCCTTGCCTACAAGAACTGGAATGATTTAAAAGGAGACTTTGGTCGAAGGACTCCTCCTGGCCTGGTCAAGATATTCTAGGCCATTGGGGGTGAACCTAGGGAGCATGCTGCAGGCCGTGCAGCGCTGTATCTGTGTACACACCAGTCACGTCACCCCAGCATTACCTCAGGGGCCGATCATTGAGCACCGGATAACAGTGCATACAGGGCCCATGTGTGTGCTTGGAAGGGAGTCGTGGTACCAGAAGATGACGTCACAAGCCACAGCTCATTAGCTGTGATGGCAGGTCGGTGTTCATGTTTAACTGGCATTGTGATACATGAGTGGGTTTTGGCACCGAGCCTCTAAAGGTTCGCCATCCCTGTTTTAGGAATTGTGCTGCAGTCTGTGAGTCTTGCTGTGGTCCTCTTTCCTTCCCCTTCTCTCTCACAGAGACCAGACTGCACCCAACCTCAGGCCATCCCTACCTTCTTCTACAGCCCTGACTCTTCACAGCTGTTGGCCCCAAGTCTCCCTTGCATACCTAGTCTCACCCTGATCCGTTCTTCTCCAAGGAGCTGAACTGTACAGTGCATTGGTTTAGAGCACATGTTCTGCTTCGAGTCCCATCTTGTGTGATCTGAGCAGGTCACTAAACCTTCTGAGCCCTGATTGCTCTGTAAAACACGTCCATGGGCAATACTCACTGCATGGAGTTGTTATTCAGAAAGGATGATCCTGGCCCTGCTGCTGAGCTCTCTGCCTTGCAGCAATGTGCAATGATTTAGGAAGTGCTGAATACCCGATCTGCCCAACCTCATCCCCTCCTCCTGCCAAGAAAAAGTTCCCTGTGGTTTCTGCCACTCCTTCAGGTGAAGAGGTACACTGGACCAACCCACTGTGATTCCAGGCCAGATAGGCTACTCCACTAACAGGCCTCCATAGGCAGTTTTTCCTTCCAACTATTCCCTTTATTTGACAATTCAAGAGGTTGAACATCTCTTCTTGGAGGCTAGGTTTTAGTCTTAGCCCCAAGATTCCATGAAAGGTGGTACTCTGCAGATTCCATCTTCTACTCCAACCAGTGTCATGTCTCATTGGCACTGCTCTCAACTGGGCCCTGGGGACTCCAGGGTCCTCCAGACCAAGTCTCTGTCCTCAGGTTGCTGTCCTCTCAAAACAGGTTCACAGAAAATCCCAGTACAATGAAGGTTTTGTGACCACTTGGAGATGAAAGACTTCCGTCTCGACATTTCATGATGGGAAATGGGAGAGGTGCAGGCAATGTTTCCTGATTGTGTTTGGTTTAAAGAGGAAGAACAGCATGTTTCAATGTTTCCTGGCAGGGAAAAAAATAAAATGAGAGTGTTTATTTTCATTGAGAAAAAGAAACTGAAAATTCTGGAGGTTACACAAATAGAAAGTTTATTTTTCTCTTTTGGGCTCTGTGACCAGTTAATGATTAGTGAGCTCCCAGAGGAGTTTGTTGAAGGCTGTGATCCTCTGGCCTTAGCGATCTGCTGTTGCCTGGAGCTGAGACCTCCAGCTCAGAGATGCCCTGGAGCCTCTGGGAGAGATGCTTCTGGCTGTGGGGGCTCCTTCTGTGGCTTGGCGTGCGAAGTGCAGGTAGGCAGTGAACTCAGGCCTGGGGTGGAACTTGTTTTGGTCAATGACTGCATTTCAACTGCCTACTTATGCAATACTAACCATTGGAAGGTCCCCTAAAAGTCCTCTATGTCTCCCAAGATGAATTTAAAACAGGGGGGAGAAAACAGCCAGTATAAAACCATGGTAAACAGGACACTTACTTAGGCCACAGAAATTGAATTTCCCCTCGTTGCCTGACTCATTTTTCTAAAATCTGCCTCTCTGTCCTTTTCATCTTGAACAACTGGGAATAACTAGAAGAAAACAAATTTTGATTAATTCTTCAATATTCTTTTTTGCCTTATAAATACCCAAGATATATTTCATTTTAACATTTACATTTTCCAAACCAGCAATGATTTTGTCCTAGAGGTTGTTGGATGTTCTTTCTCATTTTTGCCAACCCAGCTTGAGTTCAGCTCTGTCGTGTCCCTTGGCTGATGAAACCAGTCCCTGCTAACCACTGATGTCCATTTAGAACTTTCCTCTGAGTCTATTTGCATCATATTTTTCCCCAGCAAAGAATCTGCCCATGGTAAGCTTAATATAGCAAATTAGCACACACACACACACACACACACACACACACACACACCCATGGGCAGCAGCAGCCCCAGAAAGTCCCCCAACCCCTGCTCCAACATAGACCGCTTCTCTGTCTTCTCTATGGATATTTCTCATTCCTCAGCTTTAAAAGGTTCTAATCCCTCTGCTTGGAGTTGGGTTATTTCTGTTCTTTGTATCTTCCCAGAGAACCTCCTGTCTCCTTTACAGCTCTTCATTCCTCAGCTCAGCACTCCTTCCTTCTCTAAATCCAGCTCCATGAGGGTGCTCTCACCCTGAACCCTGGGTAGCTTTTTAAGGTGCTGCTTGGCTTCACGCAGCCTTTCCTGTCAGTTGTAGTCACCAGGTGAGGGAGGATTCGGGGCTCTCGCCTCTTTTAGCACGCTTGGGTGACTAATGAATGCTGCTGTGTTGCTGCTCCGAAGAGGCCAGGTACTGGACAGAGAGGGTGTAGACTGTGGGTCAGGATCCCCTGACTCGCATCCGGGCTATTTTTCAGGAGCTGTAGGACTCCTGTACTGTGTGACAGAGAGCTACAGAAGGAAGTCACTCTCCTTTTCCTGTAGTGGGAGACTCTCCTTATGAGATAGGAATACTGTAAAGATTAAACAAGGATGCACGGAGTTTTTCTGCACTTTTATTCTTTGGCGATTTTGTTAGTGAATGGTTGGGCCTTTGGGCTTATGAAGAAGAGGGAACACAGTTGTCATGAGCCACCTGGGAAAGAAGATGAGAGGTTTCCCCAAAGGTTCCTAAGACAGCTGTGGGTACCATTCAGAAAGGTGGGCTTGGTAGGCCACTTTGTCTCTGCTCAGCCACTCTGTTCTGGCAGAGGGACTAGGAGACATTTGCAAGGTACCCTGATTTGACATTTGAGGGTGGAACCTGGCAAGGTGGTACAGGCCTATAATCCCAGAACTCTAGGAGGCTGAGGCAGGAGAATCACAAGTTTGAATCCAGACTGGGCAATTTAGTGACTTAGCAAGTACCTGTGTCCAGGTAGCTCTGGGCAAAGGCTCTAGAGCCAATCTCTAGTACTGAAAAAAAAAATGCTGGGGTAGAGGGGAAGGACTGGTGGCAAACGGCTTCTGAACTCTTCTCTCTAGCCTCTCAGCAAGCCTGGCTTCCAGCATAGACGAAAAGAGCTCAAAAATCCTGAGCCAGCAGGCTTGGGGTCAGAGCAAAAGTGGATCCAGTTTCAATGTCCTATGTGGGGAGCACTCCAGATGCTCTGGGCAGAGAGTGAGCAGGTAATTGCTTATTCGATGGTCCAAAGTAGGGTGCCTTGTCTGTTCCTTTACTTCTGTCCACTGTGGGCTTCCCCATCACACTCACCTCGCAGACTGCTCTCCATTTCCTGTCCCTGTCTTCTCCTTCTTACCAGAGTTGAGCGTGTTGTCAACGGTGACAAGTTTATTAAAATTAATGTTTATTGTTCTTTTTACCTTTAAATTAAATGAGCTAGTGAAGAGGCAGAGATGCACTGTGGTGGGGGGGCACTGAGGCCCAGATGTAATTGTGTTCAGATAGTCGGGAGGGGGGGGGGGAGACAGAGGCATCAAGGTGGAGAAGAGCAAGGAAATGGCATGGAGGTGAAGGAGGCCTGTGTGCTTGTTGGGAGGGTCTCTCCTTACTCCAGACGCGGGGAAGGTGCTGGATGCTGGGAAGTTGTCCTCTGCTTGTTTTTCTGGTCAACCCAGGTGTCTTAGTTACTTTTTACTCGTCGCTGAGACAAAATACCTGAAGGTTTGGAGGTTTCAGTCCACACTCAGTTGGCTCCAAGGCAGGCGGGCATGGCTGGGCAGCAGTTCATGGTTGCTGCAAACAGCAAACAGGAACCAGCAGAAGAGCAAGACGCACCTTCTTCCTGCCATTACATCACATCCTGGCTCCACCCCTAAGTGGGTGGAGCACTAACACCATCAATCCAAGCGCTATACAATGAACCAATCACAAATACACAATGTAAACTCATGAGGCCTGGGGACACAGACATAAACCATGACACCAGGTCATATACAGTGTTTTGTTTGGATGGCAGAGGTCAAAACAGTGAGCCTGCTGCTTAATCAAACTGACGTAGTCAGGAGACCGCTACTGGCACAGAAGACAAACTCTGGAACCTTTAAGCTGTTGTTCATTAAAAGCATGATTTGTATTTTCTTCTAAGGTGGTCAGGGACTTAAAAGCAGTTTTTGATAAGATCTGTGATTTTTTGCTTGGGTCTACAAATGCTCCATCGGCAGCTTAAAACCTTGGATATAGATAGGTGCTTTACCCATTGAGGAGATGTCAATAGAAAAAAGTCAACTAGCCCCAGATTTACCTAACCTGTCTCACCCCCTCTTCAAGACAGAGAACCCCAGGATAAGAGTAATTAAAGTAATTTCCAAAACTCACAGGGACATCTGATACTGTTTCGTGAGAATGGAATTGCCCCTCCTGCCTGAGGATTCCTCCATGCTACAAAACCAGACTAGATATGACCGGCCAGAGCGCAGCCCACAGCAGTACCCCATGAAACTCCTTCCTTGCTTAGGGGCCAGTCTGATCCACGAGTGTGCTCTCACCCTGAACCCTGGGTAGCTTTTTAAGGCCTGCTTGGCTCCACGCACGCTTTCTCCTTCCTGTCTGCTGTAGTCACCAAGTGAGGGAGGATTCGGGGCTCATACTTCAGCTCCAGCTACTTAAGCTGAAGTATTTTCCTATCTACTCTCTACTTTCCAATTAAGGAATTTTCCCTAAAGATTTTTGGTTTGATCTTAAGTTCCATTTATACCAATGCAGGCTGGGGACGAAACTGGCCCTTGTGCTTGCAGTTCAGTGTCCCTCTCCTGGGGAAGGGGCCTGTCTAGGTATGCTCTCAGCACCCGGGTCTCCTGGCCACAGGTCTTCTGTCCCCTCTTCCTGTGGGGTTTCCTGTGTATTTACACGTTTCCTTGTGGACTTTGGGCTCCCTGCAGGAAGCTATGGCTGGCATCTTACTTACCTCCGAGTTGCCAGGTCTTGCCTGGGTCGGGGTACAAAGGAGCCATTCTATAAACCAAAGGCCCCAGTTACTGGAGAGGAAGAAACTGAGTGGGTTGCAGGCCTTGTTTCCATTTCCTGACATTTGCAGTACAGGAGTTAGATCCGCCCTGACACCGTATATCCACCAAAGAAGGGATGGGCTGGCCTATTTCAGTTATACTGCTGACAAAGCCACCCACAGGCCTGGAACAAAGTGACTGAGTGTGCTGACGAGCCCAGGCCTCAGAGGGATGGCAGGAAGTCTGGGCCCCAGACAGGGCCTGTGACGCTGGCTTCTCAAAGGCCAGCCTGGGCCAGGCTTTCATAAGTGATGCTGCCTCCTGCATGTCTGAAAAGGGCCATGCCCAAGTCAGCTGTAGCAAGCCCCTACCTTCCTACCACTCTGCAGTACCCACCGGACAGCATGGCAGGGGGGGAGGGGAGCCCTACACTCAGTGCATACTTCTGTGAATCCTTCAGTTTCTCCATGTTTGATGACAAAGTGATGGTTTTGAGTTCTCTCTGTCCATTCCCTTCTGGGCTTGGGTCACAGAATCAGAATGTCTCAGACAAAGAAAACTTTTAGGAAACAAAATCGAGTGTGAGACCTAAAGTATGTAAATGTGGGACCTTAGAGATGCTGTTTCTGACATCTATAGATCATAGAGTCAACCAGTATCCTCAAGGATGAAAAGAAGCAGGTATATTTGTGCCCTGAGAGTGGGCACTGCCTGGCTGTTAGTAACTATTTTTTAACATTCATTCAGCACTCAGAACTAAGAATTGAAGATGGTGGGCTCTTTATAGATTTGGACAAGCCAGTGTTTACTTCTGTGCGCTTCTTTTCTATTGCATATAAATAAGTCCCTTCTTTTGTTGACCGACTGGGGTCTCAGAAATAAAATGAATCCAAGTGAAAACTGCAATTTTTGAGATTTGATTTTTTTTAAAAGAAGGTACAATTAGTATATGCCCAGAAGCAGATGTAACAGAGAGGGCTCAAGAATATATGCAAATGGTAAAATTCACATACCTGTAAAGGTATAATGTGTGAAATTGAGGAGGGCATCAAAAAATGGAAAGATATTCTCTGTAGCTGGATAGACAGAACCAGTATTGTCCAAATGATCACACTACCAAAACTGAGACATAGGTTTAATGTAATTCTAATCAAAATGCCAACAGCAGTCCTCACAGAACTAGAAAAAAAATCCTAAAACTTATATGGAATCAGAAAGAGCCCAGAATAGCAGAACCAATTCTAGGCAACAAGGGCAAAGCAGAAGACATCACGATTCTGGATTTTAAATTATATTACAAAGTCAAGATGATAAAAACAGCATGGTACTGAAACTAAGACCTGTGGATTAGTGGAGCAGAGTACAGGATACAGAATAACTCCAAGCACATTCAGCTATTTGGTCCATTTGACAGAGCAGCCAAAACATATGCAGGAAGAAAAATAGCCTTTTTAACAAATAGTGCTGGAAAAACTGGCTATCCATATGCAGAAGATTAGATCTAGACCCATGTACTAAGATAAAATCAAAATAGATCAAAGATATATATTTTAAAAAAGAAAGTCTACTGGAAGATAAAACTCTTGGCATAGGGAAAGCATAGGCAAGGCGTTTTGAACAGAATCCCAGCTGCACAAGAAGTAGCATCAAGAATCAGCAAGTAGAATATACCACATTAAAAAGAGTCTGTGTAAAAAGCAAACAACCAACAGAGTCAAAATAACAACTTAGAGAATGGGAAAAACTTTTGCCAGGCACTCTTTGGACAGAGAATCAATATTTAGAATATGTAAAATACTTGAACTCTCTCTCTCCAATAAAAGACCCAACTAAAAAAACAGCCAACGAAAATGAATAGACATTTCTCAGAAGAAGAAGCTCATAAATGGACAATAAATATGCGAAAACATATTCAATATCTCCGGCCATTAGAGAAATACAATGGAAAACACTCCTGAGATTTCATCTTTCTGCGGCCATCAAGAAATAAAGTAACAAATGCTGGCGAGGCTGCAGGGGAAAAGGAACACTTCTGCATTCCTGGTGGGAATGTAAATTAGTCAACCACTGTAGAGGTCAGCATGGAGATTCCTCAAAAATACTAACGTAGAATTCCACTCTGCCCGGCTATTCCCCTTCTAAGTGTCTTCCCACAAGAGTTTAAGACATTGTATGACAGAGATACGTGCATACCCAAGTTTATAGCAGCATAATTCATAATAGTGAAATTCTCGATGTGGTCTACATTTCCTTCAATAAATGGATAGATAAAGAAAATGTGGTATTTATCAAAATGAAACGCTCTTCTTCCTTAAGGAAGGATAAGTTTGCGTCATTTATGGGGGACAGATGCTCCTTGGGACAACAATGTTAAGTGAAATGAATCTGACACACAAGCTTAAATACCATGTGAGAAACTCGAGGTATAAATAAAGTAACAAGCCAAATGGAAGACATATTAAGAAATAGGGAGATAAAGCTTCTGCAAATCAGAAGAAGGATAGAAAGAGTGGGGAGAAATAAAAAGAATTATACTATGTTATGTACATGTACCAGCCTCCTTGCAATGAAGGTAGTCATTATATACTGCAAACATGTGCTAATAAAAGTTTTAATTTTATGAAGGTATAATATGATTTCACTGCATTTATGTATAGTATATTTTTCTTTTGTAATAGGTGCATATATTGTGTACTCTCATATGTGAAATCCTTCCATATCAATATACAGAGCCACTGAATTCTTTCTAATGAATATTTATACATTATATACTGGTTCTGAAAGGGCATACTTTTTTTTTAAATATGTGAGATGAACTGCCTTGCAGAAGTTATAATTATTAATATCTTGAGCATGGCCATTTCTTTATCTCTCTGCCAATACTCAAACACTTTTAGTATGGCCCAATCTGATAGGAAAAATAATGTTATCTTGACGCTTAATTGCTAGTATGACTAAGGTGTAACTTTTTTATGCATCTGTTGGCTGTTTCCAATGCTATCCAGCGTAGGCCCTTTGCCTCTTTCTTTACTGAGCCATTTTACCCTTACTCGACTTGTTAGGTCTCCAGAAAAAGTAGGATTTGGGCCTCTGAAGAAGAGATGCTTCTCTCCTGCTCTCCTCCCCATACACTTTCTTGTTTTCTAAATCATCCAGCTATTGTGTGATTGTAGCCAAAAGCCCTCTGTGAGGCCAGGCTAAGCAGGCTCTTTACTTACCTGGCCTGAAAGTGAGCCTGGGTGGTCCTGGTGCAGAGACCCGTTCATAGCAGAACTGCGGATGGTAGACCTCTTGGACGAGGATGGGAGATCTACCTTTTCAATTTTCTCAAATCCTTGAGTCTTTTCAAATTGCCAAACTCACTGTCACTTCCCCTCCTTTGTTTAGAAAACCTCACTCTGCGTGCCCGGTGTGGCATGCATGATCTCATCCGGGAACCCCTGGCTCCTGCAGCTCAGGCCTTGGGCCTCTGTGTGCTGTGCTCACCCTGACTCCTTCCAGCAGCCCGGCCATGGCCCTCTCTCCACCCGGCTCCCTCCATAGCCTGGCATCTAGACCGTTCATGCTTTCCCCCAAGAGGCTCCCAGCCCCAGGCTCTGGGTCCTGCACTCATGGTCTCACCCTGGCTCCACATTAATGCAGCGACCGCATCTGCTGGTTTGGTCACATTCCCAGCCAGAGTGGTCTCTGAGGGAAGGACTACATCTTTGTCCTTCCATTATTACCCCTACGACAGCAGCTAGACACCCGGCAACATCCCCAGCATCTTGATGAAATCTACCCACACTGAGAATAGGTTGGTGGTGAGCCTCGGAGGAAACGCATCCTCAGATCACAACTGAACGTCATTTCACACTGACTGAAGAGCGTCTGGTGTTTTTTGGTGTGCTTGGGCTGGTAGAGTCATAAGGCAACCTGGTGACCTGCAGAACTTCATCAACAAGAAATGAAGGAGGCAGAAACAAAGGCAGAAAATACTGTCTATGTAGAGGAAGGTGTGGAGAATGCAGATGAAATTCCCCGGTGTCTGTCCCAAGAATTCCTCGCAAAGGTGAGCGTCAAGGGGGCAGACTGTCACCACCGGCCCTTCTGTGACTCCCATACTTGTCCCCTGCCAAGACTGTTGTCTTTCTCTGGCTCCCCTTCCAGGCCCTCTTTGCCAAGGCCTGAGGAAATCTGCAGATGAGTAATACAGTATTAGCCAGGAGCACCTTCCAGGTCCTCGAGGAACTTACCCACAAAGAGCCCCGCAGGTGAGTGTGCCTGGGGCTCCCGGGTGAGAAGCACAGGCGGTCTCCAGCCTCCTGAGTCCTCCTGGGTCCATCTATGAGGACCTCACACCCGGGTAGCCTGGCCTGTCCTAAGGGGAAATGCTGGCCCCCAGAGCCTAACACCTCATCAGGGTTATCCACCCCTGGCCCAAGAACTACGGTGTCCATGCTTGAAACACTTTCTTCCTCCTCATCAGCTTCCATTTCTTCTGAGAAAGGAGCATGCTAGAAGAGGTCTAAGGTCCTTCTTTCCTTCGACCACTTCCCCTTTTCTCTGAAGAGTCCCAGGTTCTGAGTCGTATTTCTGTCGATTGACGTCATCTTCAAGCCCCAGGACTTTTGAACTTGCAAAACTAAATTCTGTTCTCTGGCTAATTTCTAGGTATTTTCCACTATAAAACCAAGACAAAAAGAATATATAAATATACCTAATTTTATGCTTGTTTATGTATACAGGTTTTTTGAAAGAATGACAAAAATATACATAGGATTCATACTACTTGTGGAGAGAGAGAGGCTGGAGAAAAAAGCTTAAGATTTCTAGTTTTATTTTTAGGGGTCTACAGGAATTATTTAAATAAAGATAGTGTATCCTATTTCTAGCACTCTTGTACTATTCTGTTTTTTTAATGTAACATAGACTCATGACAAAAAGTTTTGAAAATAAGATTACATGAAATTTATATAAAAATACATTAAAATAGGAAAAAAATAGTACCCCATAGCTCACCAAAATGCATTGTAATGTTTTGCTATATTTTAAATTTTTTCCCTACTTTGATAAATTAAAAAATTTTTAAATAATTTAAGGATACAAGAAACTTCAGCAAATAATATGGCAGTCTTATTAAACCTTCTCACTATCCAGATTTAATAAATGCTAACATTTTTGTTTCGGATCCTCCTTATTTGAAATACTTCAGGTTATTCAATTATAAACTAACTTACAGTTTATTTACTAATTTCCCTTCACTGAAGTACAGCTAGGTTGTCTCCAAATTTTTGTTCTTTTTTTTTAAGTTAAATACAGTGCCTCAAAGTGTGAGATTGATTATTTCTGGAAATGGAGTTCCGGGGTCCCCTGGCCTCTCCAGCTTTCCTGGGGAGAGCCAAATTGCTCTCCTCAGTGACTCATTTATTTCACAACCCCTCCAGAAATGGACTCGATCCCGTTTCTTCTCTCACTAATGTTCAGGGTCATTCCCAGTCTTTTGCCTTGTCTAGATTCATTTTACCTTGAGAACGACTTCTGATTGGAGGATGCACACTTCTAATCTTTTTCAGTGCACATTTGCAGTGCACGATGGTTACATTCATTGTGGGAAGTGGTACGTGTGCATAGCACATCTTAAGTTTTAATTCGTTTTGTGTCTCTTTCTCTTCCTCACCCCATATTTTTTTAAGTAATGGGAAATTCTTAATCATTGTCTTTGAAATGATGGATTTTCTCAATTCTGTTTCTTTAGAGACACCTTCGAGATAAATGTGGGAGCCTCTCCACCTATTATCTGTACTTTGAAATCACATTTTAAAGGTTTCTTATATATCTGTGCTATATGGTATTGTTTCTTTTTTATTTCTGTGAGTTTTTCATTTCGAGATAAGAAATTCCTTTAAAATAAGTATGATTAATGAGACTTTAAGTACACTAATAAGATACAGGACAAAAAAAAAGAGACAAGGCATGGAAATTAGGAAATAAACTAGGGGTGGTGGTACATGCCTGTAATCCCAGCACTCTGGAGGCTGAGGCAGGAAAATCACCATGAGTTCAAGGCCAACCCGGGCTACATAGTGAGCTCCAGGGCAGCCTGAGCTACACATAGAGTTTGTCTCAAAAAAACAAAACAAACAAACAAAAGAAATTTTGAAATAAAAACAGCCATAAACCAGGTGTGACGCTGTACATCTGCAATCCCAGCCATTCTGGAGGCTGAGGCAGGAGGGTTACAGGTTTAAGGACAGCCAGACAAAGGGGTGGGGATGAATCTCAGTGCTAAACTGCTTACCTAACACATGCAAAGCCCTGGTCTCAGTCTCTAGTACTGGAAAATAAAACAAACAAGTACGGTAGAATAATAAAAGAATGCATATAGAAAAAAGCTAGTTAGGAAACGAAACTGAGGACCTAAACCGAACCACACTGTGGCCAAGCAAATAATCCAAGGAATAAAAGGATTTTAAAAAATTAATCAGTGTTCACATGTGATTAAATTAGAGATGAAAAATCAGGTACTCATCTCAACTGGTTAAAAAAAGAATGAAACAACAACAAAAAACCACTTGAGAAAGAAACCTACCAGAATTTATGAGCAAGAATTTCTCAATTTCTCTCTCTCTCTCTCCTCCTCCTTCCTTCCTTTCCTCTCTTTTCCGCAACAGTTCTGGGTATTGTACACCGAGGGCCATTGCCCTGAGCTACTCCTTCAGCCTTTTAAATAATTTATTTTGTGACAGCATTTTTGTAAATCACTCAATTGGGCTCAAACTTGGGCTCTTCCTGAAGCTTCAGCTTCCCTGACTGTAGAGATTAGAGTCATGGACCGCCCCACCTGGCTTTGTTCTTTCTCTGAGATACCCGTGTCTCCTTATTCCTTGGTTGGTGTGATGCCCGAGGGTGGGGATATTTGAGCATGAAAGCAGAACTGCCCTGCTAAACTGTCTACACTGTTGAGCTTTTGATGGATGGTTGGATACAAAACTATTGTTTTCAATTCTTAATGCTACAGAATTACATGTTTTTAAAATCTTTCTATTTCTTGACCAAGTTTTGGTAGGTTCTTTTCTAAGTAGTGGCATGGGTATTATTTATTTTTCTTTGAGCAGTTTTTCTAAACTAAAAGCTCAGTATTCAGGTTCAACTTCAGTGCTGGTACTTTGCAATTAACAAGTGAGTTTTGGGTTGCAGTTGGAGCAACCATGTCTAAAAGTTTCACCATCATTGCACGAGCTGATGGCTAATAAAGCCCATGCCTGTAAGGCACCATTTCTTCCTTCCGTCTAAAAGCATCTTGCTTTCTTCTAAAAACAGATGCTCTCATTCTAGATGATTTTGTTTTGTTGTGTTTCCTTCTAGGGGACACACCTGCTACCTCCCAGCCAAGATGCACTGACTTCCAGAATGCCAGCTTTCTCCGAGGTACCAACCTGAGAGTCCAGTATCTCCTCTTTGGCCCTTCAGATTCTGGCTGTGGGCAGCTACTGGAAGAAAACAGTGACATCCAAAACTCTGGATTCAATGCCACTCTAGGAACCAAGCTAATTATTCATGGATTCAGGTGGGAGTAAACCAACCAATAGGACCTCCTCTCCTAACAGCCACGTAGGACCCATACGAAGTTAGTGGAGAGCAAAGGGAGAAATAGGTTTCCCGACTGTCACCCATCCCAGCCCTCATGGCCTGCTGTCTTTTAAGGTGTCTTTTATAGTCCTGGACACACAATATGTTGTTCATTCTTGTTGGTCGCATATGTTGCTCCTCCACTGGGTCTTGTCCATATACTCACAAATAGTACACACGTATGCCCCTGGATGAGTCATGCCAAACATGGGCCTTTATTTTCCATATCTGAATTAAAAGGACGCAGTAGGGACTGTCTAGTATTCCCAGGGTAAAAAGACTGTGGTGGGCAGCATGGAATTCCAACTTGACTGACTTTGGGGTCCACCTGAGAGATTGGTGGAGCACACTTCTTGGCGTGGGCCATGGAGGTGTGGCCTTGGGGTCTTTCTTTGGTCCGTGGTCCCTTCTCTTCTGTCACTGTTCCTTGCTCTGCTTCCTGTCTACCATAAAATGAGCAGGTTTGCTCCTCTGTGATGTTCTGCCTCGGAACCAGCCAATCACAGACTGGAACTGCACACAAATAATTAAAGCCCTCCTCCTTTAAGTTGTGGGTGTTGGGTATTAGGTCCAACAGCGGGACAGTACTGATACAAATACCACGCCGCTACCCAAGGTGTATGGGTTGCATATACCTGACTCACTTCACACCATAAGATCATAGGCTTTTTGCAGTTACTCAGAGGAAATGGCATGTTTTCATTCAGGGCTTTATTTCTTCTTCTTCTTCTTCTTCTTCTTCTTCTTCTTCTTCTTCTTCTTCTTCTTCTTCTTCTTCTTCTTCTCCTTCTCCTTCTTCCTCTTCTTCTTCTTCCTCCTCCTCCTCTTCCTTCTGCTTCTTCATGTTTTCCCTGGTTTCATGACGTGATACACTTCTATTTAGGTTGCTGCTTCCACCACACTCAGAGACTAACATTTCTCAGGAACTAGGTACATGTCTTCTGAAATTTCTGACACCCCCACAAAGCAAATTTTGTTGTAATAGAGTCACCAAGTCTCATTTCAAGCACCATTTTTCCTCAAATATTTATCCTCCAAAGCTCACAAACAAGATCGAAAACAGGAAAGTTTCTGGGAGGAAGGAGGGGGTGAATTTGGTAAAATCACAACACGAACAGCAGGTAAAGTTATGTAGGAGGCCAGAAGGCAGTGCCCAGAGCTCTCCACTTTCTGATCTTTGGATTCTGTCTCTTTAGCTCTCATACTCAGCTACATCCTCATCCTCTGGCAAGTCTTACATGCAGCCACAACACAAGACTGAGTGCCCCCGCCCCAGCCAGGGACAGTGAATACAGCAGAGAGCCCATCAGCCTAGTACTCGATTTGCCACTGAATCCCCTCAAACCACATTCCACTCAGCGTACACTCAGTCTGCACTTCACTGGCCATGTGAACAAGCTCACATCGTTCCTAATGTGGGAGTCATTGGCAAAACTTCTGGTCTCCATTAGGAAAGCTTCCTGAAGAAATTCCCACCATTCTTTTTCTAGAAAAGTTTCATTGTATTATAAGTTCCCAAGGAACAGGGACTATATTTCACTTGCCTTTATTTCTTAGAGGACATCTAGCATCCTGTGTGGCTCATAGGTACTCAGTTGAGTGAATGACCATCCTTAAGGAAAGAGCCTATATTCTAGAATGGGATTTAAGAGTGCAAATCCTAACTCTAAGGTATAAAGCTATTTTCCTTTCTACCAAAGTACACACACACACACAAGACAGGACATATTGCTTATGTGACATATGCACTGTGCAAAGGTGGCTGATGGAGGCAGGTAGGGCTCAGATCCAACCTAGGTGCTGGCCGTGAGGTTGCATCGAAGGACAGAGGGCGGCCTTATAATTTACAGTGGCTCAATGAGTGCCGGCAGGCTTGGCGGCTCTGGATTTATGTCTGTCCTTGTTTACAGCACTGTGATCAGCATCGAATCCTCCTACCCCTCATCCTTGGTTTTTATTTCTTCTCTAGATTTGAGATTAATAAAGGTTTCATGGCAATGGAGATCAGCTTGGCAGATCATCTTCCTCTTCATTTTTGGCCCATGTGTTTAGGGTTTTAGGCACAAAGCCTTCCTGGATTGATGCATTCATTAGAGCCCTCCTGCAGGCAACAGATGCTAATGTCATTGCTGTGGACTGGGTTTATGGATCTACAGGCGTCTACTACTCAGCTGTGGATAACGTGGTTAAGTTGAGCCTAGAGATCTCTCGCTTCCTCAGCAAACTCCTGGTAGGTGCAGAAGAGCTCAGGGTGACTTCTGGCCACTTGGGAAAGAATGGGGGTCAGAAAGGAGAAGTGTGCCCCAACAAGGTGGGGACTGAAGTAGAGACCTCTGGGGGTTTGTTAATCTTTGGCTGAAACCCCGAGTTGGCCATTTGGAGTACTGGCCTGGGGCAGGGAAGCTTCCCCCATCTTCTGGAAGATGCACCATTGCAGTGTGTGCAGACTGACTGGCATTAGCAGACCCTCAAAAGGGAGTGGCCCTGGTCGTCACTCACAGACTCTGAGGGGGTTTCAGTGTGGGGGACCTAGAGGGAGGACGAGTGACCAGTGGATCTGTCTGGTGGGTATATCACTTCCAGGAGTCTCAGCCTCTGAAGTCCCCAGGAGAAAATACTGCGGCCAAATGAAAGTCACTGTCCATGTTATTCTAGGTGCTGGGTGTGTCAGAGTCCTCTATCCACATCATTGGTGTTAGTCTAGGAGCCCACGTTGGGGGCATGGTGGGCCATTTCTACAAAGGCCAGCTGGGACGGATCACAGGTACCCCCCCCCCCACTTTCCCCTGCCCTTTCTCTACTTCCCAGGGTTTAGAAGCAGAGACTGAGTGCCCTGGAAATGCTTTTGATGTGGCAAGGTGTGTACTGAGTCTTTGTTTTTATTACTCAGTCATCTATTGCCAATGTGATGGATTTGTTGTGGTCCTTTTTGCCTAACATGGTATTATATTATCATTACATGATCTCTAATATCAGCAGCATACATGTCTTTCTGAGTCTCAGTATCTACGTCTGTAAAATGGGTTGAAATAGCCCCTGTCTCCTTGCTCTCCTGTGGATAACACCTTCACACAGTTTTGTTAAATACCTGTGAAGGTGTGGAGACTTCACGCTATAGGACTTCTCTCCATCAATAAAGTATTAGGGTTGTATGGTAGATATTCAGCTTCCCAGCCCTTCGTGAGAGGGAGGTAATTCTGAGTTCTATTCTATAGAACCCTCAGAAAGAGCCTTATAGGATGATTTGTAGTTGCCCCTAAGTATTATTCACGTTCAATCTTTGCCACATGTTTGGTTTTATCAAACTCATTTTAGAGCCAGGAACATTGGGTCACTGAGAGGCTGCCTCAGTGAGTAAAGTTGCTTTGGTAAGGTGGGTTAGTTCCCCTAGAATGTGGTCCTCGCAGGAGAACTCTGTGGTCTGAACTGGAAGGGCTCAGGGTAGGTATGTAACAGATCCACAGTGCTCCTGCATCCTTGAAGAAAGAGGGCTCCTACACCAGTCTGTCCTTGCAGGCCTGGACCCCGCGGGACCGGAGTATACCAGGGCCAGCCTGGAGGAGCGCCTGGATCCAGGAGACGCCCTCTTCGTGGAAGCCATCCATACAGACACTGACAGTGAGCTGGGGTCAGGGAGAGCGCTAATAGGGGCCACCAGCTGGTGCCTGGCTCTGAAGCCCCATCCCTCGTAGGATCTATGCTGTGCAGGGAGGGATTTCCCAGGATGATCTTGAAAGTCTCTGCTAGTGACCACCAAGTTGAATGATTTTCATTTTAGCCATCAGTAGGCAGCGGGATTCTCACTCTTGGACCCAAATTGTTAGTTTGGGCCCCTAATTCTCTGACTCAACACCAAACCTTGTGCAGAGCTGAGGCTGGGGTGGGGGGACATTGCTGTCTGGCTGACTTACAGGAAAGGCAAGCTGCTCTTCTGGACAGTGTGCTGGCCCCTAGGACAGGGACATTCTGTTCTCTCTTCTGACACATGGGCCTATCAGGACTTTCCTTCTCCCTGTAGGATGGGCCCAGGCCAGTGGAGAACAAGAATCCCCTTCCCAGTAGTGACAGGCTCAGGAAAGGCCCCTCGGCTTTCAGACTATGAGAAAATTAAGCCCTTCTGCACAACTAGGCAAAGAGGTGGCTGATCTTCCTCATTTCTATTGGGTATAAGAGGCCAGTGGAGTCTGCCAGGCCCTGGGCTCAGGTCAGTGGAGCAAAGGGAAACATCTGTCCCTGAGCAGAAAGCTTGCATTCAAGCACGTTACCTCTGGGCTACACTCCTAACCCTGAGCAGTACCACAAGAGGTGTCCATGTATCATTCCCATGTGTCAAAAGCCTTCTTTTCATTTACAACACCCCAAGATGCTTGACTGCAGGAGAAACCCGTGCAGTCCTCCTGTCTAACCTTTATTCCCACTTTCACAACACTGGCAGGAAAAACAAAACCTGTGGAGTTCCACCTGGCCATGTTAGGATAATCAATCTTGTTCATGCATAACATGAATACCTTCTGTCCCTACATTTGCTAACTAGAGCCCCTGGCTGCCTGAGAGAGGCCTCTCGGACCCTTCAGAGTTGGAGCCTCTTCCCGATAGCCCTGAAAAAATAATCATTCCATTTGTTCAATCTCTTTTGAGCTGTGCAGCCAGCACTGAGGATACAGCAATGAACAGGCCTTGGAGAAAATCCCTGCCTGTGTGGCTCCACGGACAGGCATCCACTCACTCATCATTCAGTAACTGTTTAGTGAGTGCTCGCTCTAAGCCAGAGACTGCACTAAGTGTTGAGGACCCTGTAGGAAAGAAACAGGCGAAAAGCCTTGTGGCCGCGAAGCTTGTATCGGGGAAACAGGCAGGATCAGCACACATCATGATTATCATAGTGAAGGACGGTGAGAGAGGGAGCCTTGGGGGTGGAGTCTGCTTCCCAGAGGAGTGTTAGGCAATGTCTGTCCAAAAGGGTGAGATTTAGGGATGGGGATTGCAGCTCTGGGAGAAGAGCATTCCAGGCAGAAAGGACAGCGCAGGAAGACCTGGCTGTGGCTGAGGACCTGACTTGTTTTAGGGACAGGAAAGAGAACTCTGTGGTTAGAGTGCAGTGGAGGAAGAAGACGTATTAAGCAGAGGAAACAAGTCTGGGCAAGGAGCTTACATCTACGTCCTCAGACCTTTTTAAATTTTGAAACAGTCTTACTAAATCACTGAGTTACCCAGGCTGGGCTTGAATTTATGATCTTCCTGCCTCAGCTTCCCAGAGTTCTGGAATTTTGGGTTTGTGGCACCACATCTGGCCAGATTTCTCTTTAAGGAAAAAGTACAATTTTTATGCAGAAAGTGGAGGACTCTCTGGGAGGCCCGGAGGACTGGCACAGGGTATTTTCAGTAGCAGTCCAGGTGAGACCTTGGTGGTGACAGTGGTGGCATAAAAACAGAAGCAGGATGATTCCATGTGTAGCCAGAGGAAGAACCGCCCTGACGTGCAATGGATTGAGAAGGGGGAGTGAGGAAAAGGCAGGAATCCAGGATGACTTCTGTGTCGCCGCGTCCCCTTGGGTAGAGGGCAAACAGCAGCACATAACCAGTTCCGTGCAGCGGTGATAGGAGAACATCACGGTGTTTGGTAGTGGGACCGGACCCCGGCTGAGGGCTCAGACGTGCCATGTAGGCTGACCACTGCGTGGGATGCAGTGCCAGGGATGAAATGCCAGCTGCAGCCTCTGTCTTATACTCGGCTCTGTGTAGCATGTCACATCTCCAGTCGGTCAAGAGAGCACAAAAATGTGTGCTCTCATGGGAAACTGTGGAATTGTGGCCCTGGCTCTGCTTATCTGAACTATTGCTTAAAGGGAAACCAACTTCCCGCCAAGAAATATATTTATCGCACTTACTGATTTGTATACACAAGGGATGTTTTCTAGATCTTAATAAGCAAATGTGAGTATTTAGCAATGGATTCTTCCTTGATTCCTCTTGGCGTGGTGCACCTTGTGGTCTCACAGCCTCGGCAACATTGGTAGGCTGAGCTCCCGAAGTCAGACCTCAGGCTCAGCTGTCAGTGAGTGTTCCCTGCTGTGGGACCCAGCAGAAGTCTCACCCTCGAGTGAGACGCGAATGGTACTCTGCCTTTTTCAGATTTGGGTATCCGGATTCCGGTGGGACACGTGGACTACTTCGTCAATGGAGGCCAAGACCAACCGGGCTGTCCCCTGTTTATTCATGCAGGTGAGAAAGCCAGACAGTTGATGTTTGCCTGCCCCACAGACTGGAATTCACCAGCGTATTACATCAGCCAGTGTGGGCTGCAGAGGGTCTTCCCAGCAGCACTCACCAGCACCCCCGCTCGTCCTGTGATGCCTCACTTAGAACTCACTATCTCTGGAGCCCATGGATTTCAGTGAATGCCTGACATTGGATGCCTGTGTCCTTTCTGTGCTTATGTTGGGTCTTGCTATGGTTGCAGAGCACTCAAGCCAATGACCTCTTGTCTTCGCTGGGCTCTGACTCATGGCATAGCTGACATTAGTATCCTCCTCTATAGAGGAAGCCAGGCGGCGCCATGGTAGCTAATCAAAGGGGCAGCTCACTGCATGACTGTGCCACTGAGCTCACTAAACCTATCAGCTCTTTATAAATGTCTTCAAGATAACCTTCTTAAATGCATTCCATGAGCATGTATTTCTTTTCTAAATGTATTCTTCGGAGATGTTTTCTTTTAATGTATTCATCATATGAATAGATAAAAGATTTTTATACAACAGAGTACTACTCTGCCATAAAGAAGGATGAACTTGAGACTTTTCTGGCTAAATGGATGCACCTTGACAGCATACTCTGAAGGGAAATAAATCGGACACACATGCTTACATACTGCATTGTTTCTCTGGTATGAGAAACTGAAAGTGTAAATAACCAAATGTTTAGTAGATACTGAGAAAGGGGTGGAAAATGTTCACGTGGTGAATGGGAAAAGGAAGGAAGAGATTTTAAAAAAAAGAATGGAAAGAAAAAACAGAAACAAAGCTTTTGTAAATAAGGATGGAAAATGGGGTTGAGAGAGGTGAGGGAAATGAGGTAAAAAAAGCAAGATGTATCATAGACAGGTACAAATTCTCTCTGGTAAATGTGAGCATTATGTATATCTAAACTGTACCGATAAAAAGAGAAAATTTATTCATTATACCACTAATTTCTATAATACCAAACTTGTCAAAAACGGAGCATTAAGCATTACTTACCTTTTTCATATTTTACTTATATAAACCATATCTGCATTTCATGTGGAAAACTTTAATTGGGGATTTCTATTTAGAAGGCTTTTAGTGTTTTTCCCGCTTTGCCAAATTCTTAGCACGTTAAGGATTCCTTTGACAGTTTATTAAAAACTACTAGTGTACTTTACCAAATTTACTAATTTGCCACACATGTGCTTCTTTTTAACAATTTACTGAAGTGTTCGGCCATTTTGATCAGGCGGGATGATTTGGTTTTGGTGGTACTGAAATATGCACCTGGTATACTGTAGTCGACCAGTTTTCGGATCTTCTTCATAACCTAGTTTGAGGAGAGTATAGTCTGTCTCTGCCTCAGTTTCCTCATGCTGCTGGAATGAACTCATCTGTAGAGAGTGTCCCTGCAACAGAGGAAAGAAGTCAACACTCAGCCCAGCCTTCACTGCCAATCCCAGAGAGAGGGCCCGAGCCCCAGAGGGAGCCTGAAGACCCCAGCACCCAGGAGCTGCAGCCAACTGTTTCCTCCTTTCCCCAGCAGACCTACCACTGTACCCTTTTAAATAGCAAAGAACAACAAAATCAAGTTTTAGGGAAAGTAGGATATTTGGTAAATTCACTACATCGGTTATTTACAGTCTAACTGTGGACTCATTGCTGAGCTGGGCGCACTGAGGTAGTGAGGTGATCAGTTTTGTGGGTGAGGAAGGTAGAGATGTGCAGGCAGAGAGCCCTTTCCTCTCTCTGGAGGAGTCAGCATCCCCGGTTCCTAGTTGTCTGTATGATCCCATTTTGTGAAGGACATCGCACGACCACACAGAATGGATCTCGGATCAAGTAATTTTCCCGGAGTTTACGTATCTCAGGAACATTCTAGAGGAAGGGAAGGATATAGCAACTCTGTCTGTTCACATTTTTAAAACACGGCTTCAGGGACATCCAGTGTATTTATAGCCTTCTGGGATATAAAGTTCACAAAGTTACAGTAAGCAGCAGGAGGGAGTTTCCATGGGTCTTGACTGAAACCTTGGTTGTGGTTTTCTTCCCCTGCTCAGGTTACAGCTATCTGATCTGTGATCACATGAGGGCTGTCCATCTCTACATCAGTGCCCTGGAGAATTCCTGTCCATTGGTGGCCTTTCCCTGTGCCAACTACAAGGCCTTCCTGGCTGGACAATGTCTGGATTGCTTGAACCCTTTTGTGCTTTCCTGTCCAAGGATAGGTAAAATGCAACCCCTTTGCTTCCTTTTGATTTGGGGAAAGTTCAAGTCATGACAGTTGTCACCACTTTATGTCCCAGTCTCCTGTGGTTAAGAGGTCTATTCAAAGGGGGAAAGTGCTGGGGATTTAGCTCAGTGGCATAAGCACCTGCCTTGCAAGAGCACAGTCCTCAGTTCAGTCCCCAGTACCAACAAAACAAAACAAAACAAAAAGAAAAAACAAAGGGAGAAAGAAAGATGAACCAATGAGGTGTTCGGTCGCTCTCACTGGAAGGTGGCAGTTGCTGTCCCTTTTCTGTCCCCACCCTCTCTCTGCACTGTGCCCTGCTGCCTCTGCTTTGATCTGCACCCTTCCCAGTTCAGCCTCTCTCCTCCAAGTCCAGCTGCAGGCATTCTACAGAAACACTGGGAAAGCCCAGAGCCCCTGGCCACCCTTGGCCCACATGCACCCACAGGTCCTGCTAGTTGCATCTGCCATTCCTTGTCTTACCTATGTCCTGAGGACTCCCCAGAGCAATGTACCAGCTGCCTACTTCAAAGGTGTGTGCTCACAGTGACCATACACCAGCTGGTGTTGGGGGGGCACCAAAAATACTAGGCAGCTTAGACACATTCCTGGATGACCCACGCTGGTCTGGGGAAAGGACTCCAGGATGGCTGAGCGATCATTGCTATGAAGATCTTAGGGTGAAAACTCCAGAACAAACCTCTCTCCTAGGTGGTAAAAATGACTCCTCCCTTCTCCACTGTCCTCCTGTTTCCCACCATCTCTGGCTGGCGCTCAGAAATACAGCAGCCTGTCATTGATCATATGATGACAAAGGTACCAACTTGACAAAACATTAAAGGAAAGGTAGCTTTCCAAAGCAAAATGAGGCAGCTTTAGTCCCTACTCAGTGGGTGCATGATGTGTGTCCCCCAGATGGGACAGACACTTACGTCTTCTGCTGGCTTCCTCTCTCCCTCCCCTTCCTGCACACTGAACACTCGGGGATGCACACGCACACACTGCCAGGTGCACATCACGTTCCCTCATCCTATGGGCCTTTGTCCCAACTACTCTCTGTCCCAGATTGCCTTCCTCTAATCTTCAGGTCAAACTTTCCTGTTTCACTGGGTCCCCGCTGCACAGAAACAAGTGCCATCGAAACTAATTATTTGCAAGTTAGAGACATGCTTTTAAGTTTCTTGTGATTCTCTATGGAGAATGGGCCATATATTCTGAGGAACATAGTTTCTGTTTATTTGTGTATTTATCCCCGTTGTGTTTTGTTTGGGTCCTGGGACTCACTACCAAGTATGACCCACAATAAGCATACAGTGCAGATGCCCACTGAGAAGTGGGAGCTGAATTAATCAGCAGATGGCTGGATGCTATGGAGCCCTGAATGGGCCTCCGCAGGACTCTTCGAGCTTTGCTTCTTTATTTCCAGGGCTGCTGGAACAAGGTGGTGTCAAGATAGAGCCACTTCCCAAGGAAGTAAGAGTCTACCTGCGAACCACTTCCAAGGCCCCGTATTGTGGTGAGTCGGGCTGTGTCTGGGCTCAGCCTGCCAGTTGCTAGCCAGAAGAGGCCAGGATCTGGCTTGAGCTGTGACCAGTGCATTGTGGGAGCACATGTGGGAGGGGAATTCCTGGGGCAAAGATAGCCTGAGAGGTGGCCATCAGCTCCTGCTCTTAGAGAGTACCAGAACTTTAAGAGTGAACCCAGTAGATGGCTCTGTCAATGAGAACTTAGGGACATTTTGGGGCTTCTCCTAGAGTGGTATTGGGGACAGACTCTGGCTCTTACTCCTGCACCCCTCTTTGCTCTTCCTCGGCACCCACACATGAACTGCCCTGAAATGGGGTCCCTGAGGGGTGCACAACTGGCCCTGTTCCTGCCCTCCCGGTCACAGACTCACTCTAGCTGTCCACTGCTGTCACCACCATTTCTTTGAAACTAGGATGCCAGTGACTGTAAAAGATGTAATATGTGAAAGTAAGTGTGTCACAGAGACCATGAGACACCATGAGCTGGGCCTTCGCTCTCCCTCCAGCTACCTGCATTCTGACAAGGTGGACAGGGTGCTGTAATGTTCCTGCTTTGCCCCTGTGGTCTTGAGCTCCTCCCCGCCCGGTGTGGTGTGTGCTGGTGGGGATGGTAAATTATAGCCGCCTGATTTTAGCCAGTTTTCTGATCAGCTTGTGTCAAGGGCACGCAGGGGTCTTTGTGGCTACATTTCTCTGTCACTGGAAGGCCCAGTGCAATGTACTATGACACTCAGAACTGAGATTTCCTGTCTCATAGCCGGATTTGAGTCTCAGCTTCTGTACTTCCCAGCTTCCCAGTGTGAGTTTAAGTTAAAATTTTGACAAAAAATGGGAACAACAACAGGACGTACCAGACTCCACAGTGAGGATAAAATAGCATCCAGGAAGCCTCTGGTACAGCGGTTAGAGTCCATCAGTGATTACTTCCTTCCCTTGGTCAATCAGGGGAGTTGAAAATATGCACAGCCATGCTGGAGGGCCAGGTGGATGCAGGGACTGTTTACACAACAGCTCAGTGGGCAGCCCAGCTCCCAAAGGGAGGAAGGCTGAGGACAGCCGAGTTCTGAGGGATGGAGTGACAAGCCCAAGGACGCTGCTGTGTCAAGTAAAGATTTTACTTCAGGCCTCCTGACCCCAGCAACCTGCCCTTTTCATGGTGTCTCTTGCCTCCACTCTAGTTTCTCTGCTCCTATCTATTTATTTTTTTTTGATACTGGGGATTGAACCTCATTTATTTTGAATTTTGAAACATGGTCTAAGTGGCTAAATTGCTCAGGCTGAGCTCAAACTTGGGATGCTCCTGTCTTCGCTTCCCAGGATGCTAGGGTTGCAGGCATGTGCTTTGGCTCTGCTCTCCCTTTGATAGCCTGCCTGCTGCCGTGAGCCATGCTCCTCACCCATTGTCCTGCCAGTGCCCATGTCTGAGGCCAGGACAGAGAGGACACAGTGTTGAGGTGGAGGTGGCCCTGAGGGACCACATCCAGCATCTCAGGCAACTTCCAGCAGGTTCGCAGTGACCTGAGATGGCTCCTTCTTGTCCACGCTGGGCCAGGCAGCACAGCATCCTAAGAGGATAGAAGCATTCCGAGGTCTCCGTGGAGGGAGAGTCACAGATGTGCGATTTTTCTGTTTTGTACTTGTCACGAAGCCTACTCTCCCCACCCCAGAAATAGGGTCCTACTGGCTCAGAAACCTCAGGAGCAGGGGGATGAGCTGCTTGCCTGGTGCCATAGCCTGCACTCTGGGGAATGGGCCACCTACCTGTGTGTACTCTCTTGTCACACCAGGCCACTGTGGCACTGGTTCTGAGCTGACTGTCAGCCACTGTTGATCTTGGCAGTGCCCACAAGGACAGTGGTAGCCCTGATTTCCACCAGGCATGGGCCAGATCCCCCACCAAATAAGACTTTCACACAATATTACTTTTCCCTTGAGCAGCAGTGCCTTCTATAACCGTTTACTTCTTTCCATGACCAATAAGGAGACTTCGGAGTTACTGCTCACATGCAGGAACTGGGGCACATAGAGGTGTGGGGGCACAACTTGCAGCAGCAGGGCATGCGCATGGCTCCAGGCCTCCCAACCAGCCACTCAGAGCTCTACCCAAGTCATACTCTGGCGCACGTTGATTTCACTACCACTTCCCATCACAGCGTCAGGCCTGGCTCTCCTGGGGTTTCCAGGGCAATGTAGAGAAAAGAGAATAAAAAGCCTAGGAAAATTTCTTAATCAGTCCTACCTGTAGCGAAGGAAAATGTGACATCCAGTCAACCCAGAGACTTAAATGTCTAAAGCCTTTTGAAGTAAGTCATTTTTTTCCACATTGAAATATCCATGCCAGTTCAGACCTTGCTGACCTGTAATAATTGACATCCAATAGTAAACATGGTGGGGGGGGGGAGAGGAGGGGCGAGAGAGAGAGAGAGAAAGAAAGAGAGAGAGAGAGAGAGAGAGAGAGAGAGAGAGAGAGAGAGAGAGAGAGAGAGAGAGAACAGAGAGCCAGGGAGACATTTGATGCTTTCTTCTGATTATGTGGAGCGCACAGGACTCTCTGTGCTTCTTCTGAGTCTTTGGCATCCTGGCCCCTGTCATTAAGCCATGTTATTAATCCCTGTGAGCCCAGCTGGACCACAGCTTCCATTCAGCTTTATCCTGAGTCTATCTGTACCCACTGATGTCACCCAGGAAATATGACAAATGCCACAGTACAGATAGAGAAGGGGAGGATTATATCTCTAGCTTGAGTGATGTCCTCATCACTCAAGGAGCCTGGGAAAATGTTCTGAGACCAAAATTACTGCCAAATGCCACCAGGCATGTTTACCCCTTGTTGGAGGAAGGACAGGGTGCCCTCCACCATCTGTACCTGAGATTGAACCTGGGGCCTTTACACTGAACTACAGCCTCAGCCTGGTTTACATTTTTGAAACAGGGTCTCACTAAGTCACTAAATTGTCCAGGTTAGCCTTGAACTTGCAGTCCGCTTGCCTCAGCTTCCCACCGTGCTGGGATTTTAGGCGTGCACCACCAAGTCCAGCTTTCTTCACCTCTCTAGCCAGAGGGACAGCAGGTCCAAAGGGAATCACCATGAGACAGGTTATTCACCCCATCTGTGTCAAGACCTACTTTGAGAGGTCTGCCACCACCCTGCCCTGGGACGTCCTGAGGCCACACAGGCAAGTGACTCCCCCAGGAAGGGACTGACCTTTACATTCACACAGCATGGGCCCTGACACTGTGTGTGTGGGGAGGGGAGGTGGGACACTGGTAACTTCTGTGAGTTACTTTGTGCATGTCTTAGTGTGCTTGTGCTATTATAACAAAATGCTGTTCACTGAGTAATTTGTAAAGAGCTGAAATTTATTTCCTTACAGTCATACAGATTGGGAAGTTCAAGGTCATGGTGTTGGTGCCAGCGTCTAAGGGACTGCTCTTCTTGCTCCAGGATAGCACTTGTTGCTGAGTCACTCTGTCCTCGCATGGCAGAAAGGCAAAAAGGGCTCTAGCTAATTCCATGGAGGCTTTTAGAAATTATGGCCTACTTATGAAGGCTCTGACTTATTACTTCCCCAAAGTCCCCAGGTCTTAGGACCGTTGTATCGAGGGTTAAATTTAGACATGGCATTTGAGAGGGAATAAACATTCAAACACTAGCAGTATATGATGGATCCTTTTTTGGCTTTTTGAAGATTACATCACCATGACAAGTCACCAGACAGACAAGAGGGAAACGTTCAAGCTCTCCAAGTAATACACTGACCCCTAATGCTTCCTAGACAGCAGCACTGTCCTGAGAACCTCCTGTCCCTTTTCATTACCAGTCTGACCTATAGGTGTATATCTGAGTACCCTACTGTACCCTTGGGAGACTGAGGCCCGGAATGATAGAAGATTTCCTTGGGGTATGGGCTACCAAGAGGCAGAGGCTTTCTGCCTGCTGATCTGTGCCCCAGTCCAGTGTGCTGTGTTTTGGTTTCCTAGTGCATCACAGCCTCGTGGAGTTTTACTTGCAGGAGCCAAGAAAAAAGGACACCAGCATTGAGATCAACTTTGTAAGCAGCAATGCCACCTCCTCCATCAAGGTCATCATGTACGTAACTGTCCTACGTGGCTGCCCTCTTCTCTGGAACTGTCTTCTTATTTTGCACATTTATATGTATGTACTGGCCCAGTCATTCTAGCTAAAGCACTGTGTCATTGCTAATGGCTGGGTCTGGCTGTCTGGCCTGGGGACCATATCCACCACAGGACCAGTTTAGACATACATACCGGGCAAGTGTCCCACATCTGGGATCAGAACTGGGCCCACACACAGTGTGCATAGGTGACTTCAGGTGAGGAAAGCACAATCTGACAGGTGGGGAGATGACAATCAGGTCCCAGGTAGGGAGCATTGCCCAGGAACCTAGCAAGGGTACACCAGGGAAGCCAAGGTGGAGGATCAGTCAGCACATAAGTGCAAGGTGAAGGCCAGACCTGTGGCTAGAAGGGCTTGGTTCTGGGTGCCACTGGTGCTTTGAGCTGTCACTGGTTGCTTGCTTCTCTTGTTGGGGAAGACTTACATCTGGGCTTGGTGGGCCTGGGTTGAAGTGAGAGAGCAAAGAACCTCAGCTGTCAGGAGCCACTAGCCTGATAGGGATTAAAAGTCAGTAGCAATTGTGCGTGTTCCTTTAAAGCAATCAGCCGAGTTACAAGCTAACAGAAAACAGACTGAGCATCTAATGTTAGCACCTCAGTCAGGAAAGCACAATCTGACAGGTGGTAGGAGATGACAATCAGATCCCAGGTAGGTCTTTTTGATTACGCTGGAGAATCAGTCATGCTAGAACTTCCTGTTATGTGCATTTGAAGTTAAGCTACGTCTAGCAGGGTGTTTCCACCTCCTGTTCACCACTGGTAGAACCGTTAACCCTGGCAGGAATCGTGACAGTGACACGCAACGCTGGCTGCATGTTCAGCTCACCCGGACAGCTTCACGGATACTGACACTAAGCTCCCAGCCCAGACTAACTGCAAAGGAGTCCTCAGGCCATTCTAGGGCACCCCCAGATGGCTGCCGCTCTCTCCCAAAGGCATTTATGTGACTCTTGAAGAAGCCATGAGGATGCTTAACTTCTACTGTCAATTCATTGACTTTCTTGATCTTAAAGATCAGAAATTGGGGAGAGGGATGCTGGGGGTAAAATGTGGTATTCCTTCGACTTTCTGTAACTTTGTGAAACCCCAACATTTCCTTTTATTTTCTTTGTCTGTTTCTTGGCCTCGAGACATAGCCCAGGCCAGCCTCAAACTCCCAATTCTCCCACCTCGGTCTTCTGAATGCTGGGTTACAGGCGCGCACCACCATGTACGGCATTTCCTTCTGACTGGAGATGTTACTTGGGTCAAATCCCCAAAGCACTCCCACAAAGCATCTTTTATAGTCTTTATGCCTTATAGGCTCCTCTGAGCAGTTTCTTAAGGAGAAAAATCTTATTTTTTCCCCCTGACATATTTCAAAACAGGGTCAGAGTAGGGTATGAACAGCTTTTAAACAGTTATGCAAGATCTCCGCACTACAGGGAAAAACTTCCTAACACCAAAGGACGTGTCATTACTCTGCAAAGGCCAGAAAGGAAAGAGAAACTGGGCTGTTGAGGACTCATCCCCGCTGCAGTGAGGCGGTGCGGAGGCCACCGCACCCTCTTCCTCTCCGCCTTTCTCAGGACCCGGGGAGAAATAGGAAGGTCCACAGCAGCAGGCAGACCAGGTCCCAGAGGCGAGCTGCTTCCTCCTGTGCAGTGCTCCACCCCACCCTTGTCCCCAGCTGGGTGACTGTCACAACTGTCACCTTCCCCCCCACCCCACCCGGGTCTCACTATTTCTCTCCTTTGTTGGTCCTCAACCGGACCCACCACCTTTTCCGGAGCACCTGTCTAGGCTGGTCCCTCCAAATTTCTCTGCCTTCTTTGCCCCATTTTGATCCTGGCCTCCCTCCTCGTTAGTCTACAGTGGGGACCTGAATCTTGCAGGGCAGTAGGGAAACTGAGGCAAAGCCTAAGAGCATGCACTAAAAGACACTTGGATTCTGTTTTTACTCTGCTCCCACTCCCCGTGCAAAATCAGTGATCCAAGATCAAGACCATGGCAGCATGTGAAGAAACCAACATTTACGTATCCCGAGGGCTATGTGACTCCACGGCCACCTTAAATTAGAGGACTTACCCAAAGCCACACAGCTGCAAAGAGACAAAGGCTGGATCCCATCCCAGCTCTGCCAGGCTTCAAGATTTATTTTGTTGTGATTATTTTTTCCAGGCACTTTCATACCTATCCTAAAACAGACTAGCCCCACATTAAATTCTCGGAACTGAGAGGTCCTAAATAAAAGCTTCTATTTTCAGAAACTTGAGAGTGAAAATGTCCTCCCCCCTCCCCAGGAATCCAAGAGGAAGGGCCATTTTTTCCAGGTCTGAAATTCAAGAGCCACTATTTTTGCTGTACTATTCACTTTTTTACTCTCAAAACTCAGTAAGGTTTTCCTGGAACATATTCAAAACTGGGGCATGCACAGAGGGGTGAGAGAGATTGATGCAAAGTGCCATGAGCCGTCACCAGCCTACTGGTTGTGTGTGGCACCCAGCCAGTGCTAGTGGCAGAGCCTGACCAGAGGCAAAGGAAAGCAAAACAGAAAGTGTCACTAACTTTCCTTTTCTGTTTCCCTTCAGAGCTAAACAGCAACTCCGTGGGAAAGGAATCATGGCCCACCCCAACCCACCCTGCCAGATAAAGCAAGTGAAATTCAAGCTTCAGGCTTCCAGCCAAGTTTGGAGAAGAGACAGGACTACCATTGTTGGGAGGTTCTGTACTGCTCTTCTACCTGTCAATGACAAGTAAGCCCCAGCAGCCACCTCTTCCTCAGACACACACGCACCACCCTCATCGGACCTGGCCCTAGGTGTGTGGCCCCACAACGTTCAACTCCATCGTGAAAATTCCCATCTTAGAAGCTGAGATGACAAATACCAGGGTTTGCCTGAACCTGGGGCTGTCTTGGGTTGGGGATGGGCTTTCGTTCTCCTCACCTACCTCAGCATAAGACACTCTTTTCTGCCTTATATATGTAGTTTCTATGTGAGAGCTTATTGGAACACTATATTCTCATTGCATTGCTCCTCTTTTGCTTCCATTTCAAGTGGAGGTGGGCTTAGAATTCAGGTCCTCTGTCCCCTGAGCCTACCAGGCAAGTATGTCATCAGTCTCACCACCCTGGCACTTACAGTAGCAGCATAAGCTCAATTGTAGATGAGCGCAGACTCCTTTAATAGCTTTATGGGAACACAAAAGCCACACAGTTCCTAGATTTCTCACTTGACCAACCAAAAACCTGCCTCTTATTGCTCTTTTCTTGCAGTAAAAAGACGATCTGCTTACCTCAGCCAGTGAACTTACAAGAGAGTGAGTCTGTGGTTCATGACTGGAAAACACCGTGTATGACATAAGCCCAGGCAGGACCCATCTTCCTGGATTTTTTTGAGGGGTGTGTGTGTGTGTGTGTGTGTGTGTGTGTGTGTGTACCCAAGTTATGTTGGCCCATTACTGCAGAAAGAAGTACAAATTCTTGGTTATTTTTCTCATAATTAGTTCCATGGAAGGGAGAGTTGACTCACTTGGTAGAACTTGATCTCCATTGCCAATCTGAAAAGCTTTACGTTGATACACTCTTCACTTCCCTATTCCTACGTAACTGCAGTAGCCTCATGCCTTGGCATCTGTACTTAGGATTCAGTGGAAACATATACAGAGAAAAAATGGCTTGTTAAAAAATAAAGCATCATGGAATATCTGAATCATTTAATTGTTTTATTGCAGTAGAATTCTGCTACACTGAAAAATGATTTAGAGTCTATAGGACTGGAGAAAATAGCAGATATTGAATTTTCAGTATCAAAATAGCAACTTAAAAAAGGTGCTTGGAACACGAGAGGGAAACAAGGGCGGGGAGGAAGATGGCACCACTCACCATCCCTTACCATCGCCTCCTCCGGATAGCTGGAAGTTTTGGAGCGTCTCGGAGATGTCTTGGGATTTTCTTTGGGTCAGTGATTCCCAAACTTTGATCTTCGTACATGCTTTTGTATTGGTCACAGCCCAGCGGGTGGGGGAAGCAAAACAAAACAAAACCTGGACGGTGAGCTCACATGGGAGGAGAATTTGGTGAAAGAACTCTTTATGGAAGTCCTCTGTGGGGAAACACCAGGTGTAGTGTGGTTCTCTGGGACAAGTGGCAGCAGGGGCTGCTGTCCCCTGGGACCTGATGCCAGCATGGTGGGAGTACCCAGGCCGGGGCTCAGAGGGCAGAATGGGCCCGCAGCTGGAGTGACAGCCAACCCTGCAGTCCTGGAGGAGGGAGCCCGGGCTGCAGAGGCTGGGGCTTCACTCTTCACCCCCCTCCCTCCCTCTCCTGCCTGTGCTCCCTGCTAGGTGATGCTAGGTGACTGCAGCCAGAAACCAGAGGTCAGGAAGCAGTATGAGCCCAACAGGTCCAGAGCACTCAGCAGGACAGAGAGGGGTGGAGGATGATGTCCGAGCAGAGGATGTTTGGGGGAACAGAGATTTGACATATGCTTTCACAACTCTCTCCCTTTGATTTTTGTCCTCTTCAAATTACCTGTATTTTGAAACTTAAATAAATGTGCTTTTAAAAAGATACCACTGCCTCCTTGATCACTCTCCTGCAGCAAAAGCAGAAAGACAATGTAAACAGCAGGCCGAGATTACTTCACCTGGATCTAACCACCAGGGCAGAGCCTGGGACTTTCCGGGCTGTGACAGTGCTGGCGAGGGTGGACGGTGACACTCTGAGGATTGCTCCGCCCACCAGGCTGAATCCTCTGCGTTGTCACAGCCAGTGTGAGACAGTCACATCTGGAGAAGCCACGTGTTGGCGCTATGGTTTGTCATTTCATTTCCTTTCCATCTCTCATCACCCCACCAGGTTCCCAATGAGAGTGTCCCTAGAGGGGTCCCACACAGACTTCTTCCTCAGTTTGCCTTGCTTGCACTTCTGAGTGTAAATGATGGTGTGGGATGCTGCTGTTAGCTGAGGACAAGCTGACCCAACCTGCTTTTCACTGTCTCTGCACTTTCACTTTTGGGTACCACCTTGTGTTTATAATATCTTCTTGTTTTCAAGCAGCATTAACCCCATTCACATGTGACTTTGCTCCTCAGAAATGCTCACTCATTACCTTACATGGAAGCCAATTTCCCTTGTAAACTAATCCTGGAAATAGATACACTGAGAATACACTATGTTTAACTGTGGTTTGTTTGTTTTGTTTTCTTTTGTTTTGGTATCAGAATACACTGTGTTTGAAATTCCAACTAGATACCATGACCTTTGAAGTCGACTATTTTTTCCAAATTAAAATGAGAAAGTGATCAGGTAGAAGAGAGCTGTGAAAAGCTTACAGACAGTACATGGAGGTTTTTTTCTGTATCTTCAGTGAATTGAAAGCAGATGAAACATGGATAGCTTTTTCACTACTGGATTCAGTGTTATTTACTGGGGGGATCTGTGTGTTAGCTGAGATCAGCCTGCCCTGGGCCTTGGCTTTGGGAAACTCGTCTTTAGGAGGCAAGGAACTGCGGCACCGGAAAAAAGGTTAACAAGGGGCAGGACTCGGGCATCGCTTGGGTCCCCCTCCACCCCCGCACTGCCCACAGCACTCCGCTGTGCTCTTTCCGTGAAGGAAGCCTGTTGCTGAAGTAATTCAGTTCAAAAGCCAGATTCACCACCAAGCTACACCCTTGGAGGTGCAAAGGACCTTGATGCTGGGATAACCACGGGACAAAGTCAGCTGACATTGCACAGCCTTTTGCTATCCTCTAGGTGCCATTCTGAGGATGTCTGTCGCACATGTTAACATAGTTTATCGTCTCCACAAGACAGTGGGATACAGTACAGATGAAGGGCCTCAGGGACTAGGAACTTTCAAGCCAAGGTTCAAACACTAGCATCTGATCCCAGAGCAGGTAATCAAGTGGTACTACAGCCAGGCTTAGGGACAGGACCCTCTAAACCATGGCCAAGAAAATTCCTCCCACGGGGCCACAGTGGACACCACAGGACTAACGAGCTACATAATTTGCAGAATCCAATGCAAACTGAGACTATGAGCTGTATATTTTTTAAAAGGGACAATTTCAAGATGAAACATCCCCAACTCTTTTTTTGATTTTTGTTTTGAGAGGAAGGATCTCACTGAGTTGCTAAGTTTCCCAGGCTGAACTGAAACTTACAATCCTCCTGCCTCAGCCTCTTTGAGTGCTGGGATTACAGGTATATACCACCACATCTAGTTATGCATAAGCCCTTCTAAGTGAAGGGTCTTAAATGATTTTATGGATGACATGTCTGGGAGGCCAGCCCTGTAGCATTCTGGGCAAACATGTTCAGAATAAATGATTAGTCCCACACCAAGCTTTGGGTGGCTAAGGAAAAGGGTCGCAAAGGCTTAGAAAAAGTTTGTAGGCCTCTTGAAGAATGTGAAAGTATTTCTTACAGAAAAATATTTCTGTTCCAGGGGGCATTCTAGGAGCAAGCAGTGTTTGATTTTAAGACAAATGATAAGGCTCTTCAGCCTCTTCTGCAGCAGAGGCAGTGAAAGGCCTGCCCCAGCAGAGGTACCGTGGTGACCGGTGGCAGGGAGCCTGAGCACAGTGGCATTTTGGGCACACCCTCTCCAACATCTGTAGCACAAAATGCCAGGGAGAGACTGGGGTGGGCTGCTGAGGGAGAAGATGATTTCCTGACATCTTTTGGTGTCTGATGATGGCCTGTGAGGACAGACCTAGCAGGCCCCTCCCTGCCACCATGTCTTACAGTGTTGAGGTTGCCCAGGGACTGAGGGATGCTGAACAGGCAGGAGGACACACATGTTTGCTCCTGAAAAGCAGGAGTGTTTGCCACAACAAACAAAAACAGAGATGGACGGGAGAGGCAGTGGGGACATGGGCTGCACAGGTGGCCACAGTCAGAAGCTGTCTTGGGCCCATAAGCTCGGCCTTCCACAATGCCCTGCTGTGAGGATGCTGTGAGTGTGTGTGTGTGTGTGTGTGTGTGTGTGTGTGTGTGTGTGTTTTACTGTAGTTTCCCTGCCCACAGCTCCCCTGTGTACCTCAATGGCAAATCTCTGTGAAAAAGTGACACTTGGTCTTCTTTGCTGTTGTGACCCAGTGCAGTGGCAGCATGCTGGAACTCCCACATCTCTGTTAGAAAATAAATGCAAACCGGACCTGGTGGTACATGCCTGTAACCCCAGCACTCGGGAGGCTGAGGCAGGAGGATCGTGGCAAGTTTGAGACCAGCCTAGACTACATAGTGAGACTCTATCTCAAAAAGACAAATATTAATAATAATAATAAATGCATAGCCCAATGGAGTATTTTCTTTCCCAAGTTTTAAATTTGTTGATAGGATGCTGTCTTAGCCTTTGCTTTTTGCTGGGAATAGTTTTCACTAACTCACCCTCTTCACTTTTTGTAGATGGATTCAAATTTTCTTTTCTCTTGAGTCAGTTTCTGTAGGTTGAGCATTTCTAGAAACTTGAGTATTAGATCTAAGTTACCTACTTTGTTGGTACATGATTATTCATGGTATTTTCCTGTCCTATGAGGTCCATCACAGTCCTATTCTGTTTTAGTGCTCTTCTTGCTTAGTTGACTATTTGCCATTTTTGTTGATCTTTTTAAAGAAATAATTGTGGTCTACTTTTTAGCTCATACATTTTTACTGCAATTTTTTATTTTTTTTCCTTGATCAGATATTCTTTCAGGTCATTTTAAAATAGAAAAAGCCAAGCATTTGACTATTTTTGCTTGTTTCTTCTTCTTCTTTTTTTTTTTTTTGCTTTTGTTCGGTTGTCTTCCTTGAAGCAGTAGATTCTTCATGGTCTACTGTCCCCAAAGCACAGGGCCACAGAAGTTCTCAGGAAAACGTCATTAGTTACTATGTTCTATGACACATAAATTACTTATCTTTATTCCTGGACTGCAGAGATCTACTTCAGGAAATAAATTTATAATGAGATTTTCCCTAAAATTACTATTGTGACTCAATAAAATCTCGAATCTAGAATGCACTCACGCTCTCATTCTAATCCAAGAACTGGTTTACCAGATAGCCTTCTTCGTAATTGCTAGAGGAACATACCATTGTCTGAAATCGTATTCCTGAGGTTACTAAAGTGCTCTGGTAGACATCTAGATATTGTGTGGTGTCTTTTGCCATCTTGGTTATCCTTTCTTGGATAACTGTCTAGGATGGGCAGCTCAAATTTATTATATGACTCTATCTGTAGCCCCAGCTGGTTGAATCAGTGGTGAACATCTGGTCCACTGGAGAGTTAGATTTCTCTTTTATAAATCTGAAACTGCAACTAAGGGGCAGCCCATCTACCTCTTTTAGAGCTGAGGATGGTTACTGTATTCCCCACGAGAATACAGAAATAGAAAAGGCTGTGTGGAAAGAGAAACACATTACAAGTCTCCTGAGAGAAACGACTTTCTGTTTCTGGCCTCGCCTTGTATAGACAGCTACTGGTCATTCTGATCTGGCATTCCTTAACATGCCACTGTGTCCTTCTAGCAAATCCCTCTTTGCTTCATTATCATGTTTAACAAAAAAGAATTCAACTTCCAGAGCATTTAGTACATACATGTGGAGTTCTACCCACCCACATGATCTATGTCATCCTCCAAGTAATTCCATGCAATAGTCATTTTACATGTGAACAAACCAAGGAGCAAGCAAATAAGTGTTCTGTCCGGGTTACACAGCTGGGAC